AACCGGCGGTTTCCCGGTTGGCCGGTTCAACCGGCGGTTGATCCGGTTGGCCGGTTGAACCGGGCAACCGGGAAACCTCCGGTTCAGCCGGCGGTTTCCCGGTTGGCCGGTTGAACCGGAGGTTTCCCGGTTGGCCGGCTCAACCGGCGGTTTCCCGGTTGGCCGGTTCAACCGGCGGTTGATCCGGTTGGCCGGTTGAACCGGGCAACCGGGAAACCTCCGGTTCAACCGGCGGTTAACCGGTTTACCGATTCTTTCTTGGTTGGCCGCTTCTCGGTTACCCGGCTGAACCGGCCAACCGGCCAACCGCCGGTTGATTTCGGTTCACCCGGTTGGCGGTTGTCGGTTGAAACCTGATCCCTGTCCGGCTTCTGACCATTAGATATTGTTGGTCCATAGTGGCTCCTACAACCGTACATTTAAAACTTCTGGAACAATAAAATCTGCCAAACTGGGATCAGGAACCATCATGTTAACAAGCTCCACTCCAAACCCATTGAGCCTTAGCCGCTCCCCCTCCTTCCAACGCGACCGCGAGCGGTGGTCAGAACGGGTCGTCGCCGGTCGGCACGGACGCCTCACAGCTCAGCTGGGGGAAGGTCTTCGGATAGGCCGCGATCTCGTGCAACGCCATGGCCTCGGTGATCTCCACGCACTTCGAAGATCCTGCAGACATCGCGAGCATAGGCGGGTGCGCTAAAAATCTTTCGTCGGGTTCCACGGTGCAACCGCTCAAACGGAGCCATTGGGGGGATTCAGGGGGTCCAATATATGCACCATCATTATTGAGATGATCAGGATTTGATGAAAACCATCCTTGCAAAAAGCCTGCAACAACTGATTTCCTATCTTGCAACAACCTGTTTTCTGATTTCTTCTTGCTTTCTCTGATTCTTCAAATCAACCACCCGCAGGTGCCCTCTATCCACCATCAGTCCTGTGGTGCCCCCCGTGAGCTGGAAGCACAGCAACCCCCTCTTCGGCGCCCCGCGCGGAGAACGCGCGGACGCGCCGAGCGGCCGCAGCTCGGCGAGGCGCAGCGTGCGCCCGGCGAAGCGCTCGGGGAGCAGCTCGGCAGCGTCGGGCGGCAGCTCGGCGCCCAGCAAGAGCAGCTGCGGACGTAGGACCCGCAGGATCTCCTCGTTGCGCTGCTTCTCCTTCAACAAAAACCAAGAAGGGGAGCAGTGAGTGGAACGAATGGAAAGGGCACACGAAACCCAGTGAGCAGCACCCTTTTTCCCCCTGGATCCCGACCTTTGGAGAGAAACTCCTTCTCAATCCGCTCCTTCTCTCGACCTTTGGAGAGTTCGCAACCCATCCACACGAAGGGTATGCCACAGCGCATGAGGGCCACTGTGGCCGCCAACCACCATGGGCAGCGTCGCGACAGAATGGCCCCGACCTCGATTGCCTCAGCCTGAGCAGAGCGAGAGAGCCAGAATGGGTTCATCCTCTCGACGCATCCCTTTTTCGGGTCCAATGGAGATCAGGTTCGGTCTGACAGGAGAAGACCTTCATCCGGAGGACCTTTGAGTCTTGACACGTTCCAACCCAGCCAGTACAGAAGAACTTGAGTTTGGCACACTTGGTTTCCACAAGTGATGCCCCCAGCCTCGCCTCCATAAGCTGCTGTACATGGCTTGCCACCAGCACCGAGGTCTCCTGCAGCTCCGCCCAAGTGAGTGCTCTTCCGCGCAAGTCACGCACAGCGCAGCAGGTGGGGCGCACCTGGTGAGAAGTGGCCGCCATGAGGGCTGATCCAATGAGTCATAAAGCGACAAGCAATACACCAGTGGTTCAAGCTTCTTCAAATCAAGCTGGGTTAATGTTGAACCTATGGTGGGTCCTGGATAACCGTGCTACAAGTCAAGCCAGAACCCAAAGAAGTCGATATTTGAACAGTGCGCATATTCCAGCCGGCGTGAGCACTGCATGTTGTGACCTCCCGCCTGTGCCCAGTGGTCAAAGACCTCCAGGAAGCTCGTAAAGTGAGCCGTCTGACCATCATCCGCCATGGCTACCACAGGTGGCTTTTGCCCAAAAAGACTTGCTGTTTTCTTGGTTTGCCGTTGCTATGGTTGTTCACTCCGTCCATTTGGTTAAACTCGACCAGACTCATCTCAAGAAGACTGGGAACCTTGGGGAGATCGAAATCCATGCTGCGGTGAGCTGGTGGGACGGGTGGGGCCCCTGCCCAAACGCTCGTATCATAGAGAATGCAAGTACAATATCCATATACCATGTTCTACTGTTTTCAGGGATCCAGACTTGCGATATTGGCCAGTCAATGTTCAATTTTTGCTGCATACGTTCATGCATAGATTTAGCCAGGCCGGTTTTATTCCTTGCTTTGTTTTTCCAGAGTTCACCAGCCAATGCCATCGATATGCAAAACGCCCTATCTTTCCCAAACATCTACAAACTGATCTAGCTTTCCAACTGGTGGTTGACCAGTTGCAGCAGAGCACCAATTGCCAAAGCTTTATGACACTCCGGTGGTCAGCACATCGGTGCGCCGTAAGCGCCGTATGGGCGCATCTGTTGGGCGCCAGTCCGGGGTCCGGACAAGAGTTTTAGCTCTCCTGCATCATGGGCCACTGATGTTCATCCGGCCATGGAGAAAGGGTGAGAGTAGTGGACATCCCCAACACGGAGTTCAGTCTTTCTTCCTAATTCGCAACTGTTCGCCTTTGTCAAACTTACGTTTAATATTATGAACAACCCAGCTAGCCAGAGATTGGAATTTGATGAATAAATATATAGATTTGCCTCCTGGACTATGGTTTGACAATTCTACACATTCTCCATAGAAATTTCCTTTATTTGTAGCCTGAATTCTTGCACTCAGAGGATGTCGCTTTCCGAAACAGCTCCAAGAGTCCTTCTCAAGCGTCAATCCATAGCACTTGCCCGGGAGCGCACCCGCCAGGACGACCAAGGCACCTGAGGAATTACTTCTTTCCACCGAAACCAACCCTATTCATCCTCAGGGAAAACCTCTTGATTTCTGCAGTTTGTTCATCGACACATGTCTTTCTGGAGGGTCAAAGTGTGTCAACCCCCGGTACTCTGGAGGGACCTTCCAGCCAACCCCCATTAAAAAGGGTGTCTTGCTTTGGGCTCTTCAACCACCATGGTTTCAGAGTTTTCGGCTTTGGCTGCTCGAACCCATGTATCAACTGCTTGTTCTCGTAGACTCTTTGACCGAACACAACAAGCAATCGACAGACCGACCGACCGCCTCGAGTCCTGTCCGTGTTTGTGTTTTTGACATCACAGTTTCAAATCGAATGAAATGACTCTGAAATGAGGCTGGAAACCGCGAGTTGGAAATAATTTTGATACTAGTCAAGCCAAGGATCTGAGACATTGAAGCCCAATTTTTCCGTGATGAGGGCGATGATTGGCTGGTTCACGACGCGCGAAACGGACCAATCATTTGATAACCATCACCACCTCCAAGCACCATAGCCGTTTGATCAACATCCGGCGGGAGATTTGTTGATCTCTTGAGCAACAACAACGTAACACGAATCGGACCGTGAAAATGGGTGGGCAGTGGGCAGTAAAGTTGTTTCGTGATTCACAATGGTCAAAAGATGCCAGTTGCCCACACTTTGCACTGACAACCTACGTCCAACCAAATTCAGCTTCGATGGATTTTTTCAACAATCTTTCAAGTTCCCTTAAGCAAACAAAATTTTGTTTTTGGCTGCCGCTGCTGCCTTGTCTTCCAAGCTTGTCTCCCTTCATGATTTCGCTCTTGGCTGCCTCTGCCGGCTTGTCTCCCAAGCTTGTTTCCCTTCATGATCTTGCTTTTGGCTGCCGCTGCCGCCTTGTCTCCCAAGCTTGTCTCCCTTCATGATTTCGCTTTGGGCTGCCGCTGCCACCTTGTCTCCCAAGCTTGTCACCCTTCATGATTTCGCTTTTGGCTGCCGCTGCCGCCTTGTCTCCCAAGTTTGGATGGAGGACAGCATCAGAAAATCCAGCAAGCGGCGCCTGTCCCAGCACCTGTCACCACGTCTAGCGATTCGTCGGGAAAACGTCGGTCGCAAACAAAACAGAGCAACAGAGGACAAGGCCGCAAAAAGGCGGCAGGCAGGCAGGCAGGCAGGCAGGCAGGCACGCAAGCACGCAAGCACGCAAGCAAGCAAGCCCGCCCGCCCGCAAACAAGCAAGGCGACGCATCCCTCCGCCAATCATGTAGTCTTCCAACTTGCAGATCAAAAAAATGTCTCTCCCGAAAACCAAACATGGACGCGCATGTCAAATTGTAACGACATCTCGTCCACCGCTTGCAAGACCCACCACCCCCAAAGTATAACAAAAAACATTCAAGTTGCAGCAAATGCGCCAAAGTGCACCAAAACAAGTTGTTTGTGTCGCACTCTGACAACTTAACTCCAAAAACATATGCACAAAATGTTATACACACAAAAAATCGCATGCGGGGGTTCCTGATATTTTTCACCTTATTCCGGCAAGAGACTCCGAGCAGTGTTCAACACAAGAAGTCAAGCGTGAATATACCAACCTCCACATTCTAGAGCACACGCATGTGAGCACACAGTCATGAGCAAACACATGGGAACACACGTGAGAGCACACACGCAACTTTTTCCATCGCGTTGCGAGGTCGGAGGCAAATGTCGCAAAGGAAACGGAAGGCGCAGGACACCAGTTCAAGAGAGTCGATGAGACGCAGGCACAGCGCTCGTTCAAGAAGATGTGGACATTAATGTTCGCATGGTGCGGAGAAATTGCTCGCGGCGCTGCTAACTCCACAAGAACCAAAGGCAAAGCCACGTTTTGCGCCTGGCCGAAAATTTTGCCAACAAAACGGCCTTCTTATTGCCCAAAAATGGGGCAAGCCACCAATCCACTTTCGAGCAAAAAGTAATGAGATACTCTGGTAGGTTCGCTTTGAACAATCGTCAATTTCCGCACGCGGCAAAATTCCATTGCCCAATGCGATTGGAAGCACCAGATTTCGCAAGCCAACCTGTGAATTCAACTGCTGGCAATGTCTTTGCTCGCTTTGCTCACTTTGTTGCAAGTATGTCGCAGAATCGACCAGCGCTCGTCGCTTCTGCTCTTCACATTGTCGGAGCCCATGCCTGCAAATCAAACGTTGAATCTTCCAATCATCAGGCACTTTTTTACCATTGTTCGCACCGGTGCTGGTCAGCTGGTTGCCCGCTTGCGGGGGTTCTGCAAGCTGGCTGCGCACCTTTGTTCCAGTCGCATGTCAACAGATTGTGGAATTCAGGCTGTTGTGGGCACGTCACGCGCGCAGCCTCAAACAGTCGGCCAAAAACAGAACCTGAAGATGCAAAATCCCACACTGCAGTCGCACGCAAAAAGTTCATGCTGCCCATGAGCGCTGCACTTCATTGTTCAGAAGCGGCGGTTGGCGTTGCACAACACTGTCAGCACCAGCAGTGAGCACCTGCACACCAGCTAGCGGCACGCACCAGCTCCAGCACCCAGCACTCCGCACCCTGTTTTTTACAGAACCCCGAAGCTTGCCATCTGAGGAAGTGAACGTTCTCAAGGTTGGCAAAATGGTACAAAGCCTCACAGGGCAATTCGACCTAAAGGCTACGCTACATGTGTCCCAGATGGCCTGGGCGCCGTCCCAACCGTGATCCCACTCAAGAAGACAACCCCTGAAAAACCTACTACCTTAAGTAAGTAGATTACAAACGTCCTAAACACAAAGCAAAAGCACGCGCAACAACTCACAAGCACAGCGAAAGCACTCTCGCACCTTTTACGCGCACTCTGGGCCTTGAGCCAAGGTAAAGTTCGAAAGCGGCTATGAAGGGACATTCCTGCAACAAGCGATTTCCATGCGAGATACCGGAGGTATCGAGCTTAAAGCATTCAACGTGAAAGTTTGACACACAAGCTCTTGACGAAAAATCAAAAGCTCTCGTGCTCAAAACACCTGTCAGTCAAGTATCTCAACGACCCGAGTCGAAAACGGAAGAAAAAGCAGGCAAAAGACACGCACACTTTTCGCCGCACACTTGAGCCAAAGTGACGAACGTTCTCCAAGGTTCACAAATGTTCTCGGGACATTTGTGGACACGCAAAACCATACTCAAAACACTTCAACGCTTCACAACAGTTCTCAAAACAGTTGGAAACAACTAAAAGCATAGTCTAAACATCTTCGGGTGTTCTCGGACACCTCATAAACAAACTACAAACATATGGAAACATTGAAAGGGATCTTTCAATGTCCTCAAAAGGTAACGAACGTCATTCAAACAAGTCGTAGGGAGTCTCCGCTCCTCAAAAACTTTCTTTGCGGTCTCTAAACAAGTGGTATGGAGTCTTCGCTCCTCAGTACTGTTGTACTATGAGTTCTCACACCCTTTCGAAGCTCACATGCCACTTTGGACAGTGGTCACTCGCTGTTCCAGTAAACGCTTGCGCTCACAGCAGCTACACAAACACAAACCAAAAGAGGTGACTTTCTTGCCTCGCAAGTATTGGCATTGACGGTCAAGGTGGAATTTGGACCCAGTCGAAGTCACAAAAACCTCAGGTACCTGTTCACTGCATTCATCTTCATCCACTCGGAGGTTGCAGTGTCCTCAACACCACTCGGCCGGCCAGCAGCGCTCGAAGCAGCAGCACCTGAAGAAGCAGCGGCATTCAAAGAGACTCTCTCTCTCTCACCCCTCTGGCTTATCGGCCATCATCCTCTTCTGTCCCAAAAGGCTCTTCGCCATTCCAGCAGCGCCAAAAAGCTTCACAAGCAAACTCAGCGCGCCATACAACGCCAGCGCAGCGATGCAGCTGCCCTCAAACGACAACATGGCTCCCGCGCGGACGCCCCACACACACAAACGGCTGCGAAAAAGTTCAGCGAAGAAAAATTCTCCAAAAGGAAAGAAAAGATAGAAAGGAAGGGGCGACTCGGGTCATTTCGACACGAGCACGGCTTCCTTCCTGAAAAAACAGTCTCACTGTTCAACTGGTTTCAAGTCTCTCGAAGTAAGGT